AGACTTAGTATTACAATTAAGCACAGCATAATAGGGGGACAACCAAGTCATGCCTAAGATTGTGTCAAAGTCAATCATATCCAAAATCACTAAATCAGCCCAAGTCTGAAATCCCATAAACAAAATAGGACAAACACGATAGACATGAGTAACTATGATTGATTCTCCAACTGGGGTAGAAACACGAATAGGGACATCAAGAATATCACAAATCATATCAAAATCTGAGGCAAATCTCACGGATACATATGAATAAGTAGAATCTGGATCAAACAGCACATTAGCTATCCAGTCACAGACAAGAATAGTACATGCGATCACCGCATCAAACGCCTCCGCCTCATTCTTGCCCGGAAAAGCATAACATTGAGCCATATCATCATGACGAGCCACATCCCTGTTTGGTTGCGCGTTACCCCTTGTTGACACCCAATTTTGGCCTAATATTTTCAAAATTCGTAACTTTTAAGTTTTATTTATTTAATAGTTCAAAATAGATTTTTTTTTAAATTTTAAATAAGTTTACCGATAACTATCATTTTTTATCAAAATTTAGGATTTTTTTTTATTTAGTTAATTTTAAAATTACATTTTTTCATGTCATTAGGTACGTTTATTATGTATATATTTTTTTAATATTGATTTTATTAGTTATATTTGTTAATATTCATTTTGATATTCTGCACAATTTAGAAATTCGTTCAAATATAGATAAATTTTCGTATACGACTATTTTATTAACTAGTGGTTTCGGCCCATAATTTTTAGATAAGGATATTGTACAATAGAAGGTTTTTAGTTTTTCTATTTAATTCATTTCTTAGTCTTTAAAAGGGGAGTTGAATTATTTTTTAGGGGGGAAGAATTTTCTAAATGTCAAAACTCTAAATTTATTTTCCTCCTTAGCCGCCAACACCCAAATCCCTCACTCTATTTTCCTCTTCCCCAAAGCCAACTGAAGCAGCCATCAAACAACCTCTTCTCCCTCACCACAAACCACCATCGCTCCACCCACTAAGCTCCAAATACAACCAACAACCACCGTCTGAAAACAACCAACAACCATCTCCGAGA